CGCACGCATCCGGCAGCTCCGGCATCCTCCTCCCTGCCGCTGTCCGGCCGCCGTGAGGCCCTGTTGCCATCGGTCCGAGCCTCCGCCCAAGCCCTGGAGACGCTCGGCCTCCTTTTCCCAACGAGAGGCAAGCAGAGGTCGCCAGGCAGGTGGCTGTGCCGCTGGAGCGGCGTCCGAGAGCGCAGAGAGCCCCTACAAAGCGCCAGCTGCCCACGGGGCACCCACGCGGCAGCACCTGGGCCCTCAGCAGGACCCTGGTGGGCAGCTGAGAGGAAGCTGAGGGTAGGAGGACGGGCTGCAAGCGCCCCATAAGTCACCCCAGGTGCCCGTGCATCCTGCACAGGAATCGAGACGTCCTTCCCCAGCCACCAAATGGGTGGCCTCCAAGTAAGTGACCGAGGCCACTGATGCCTCCTTCTCCCCATGGCCCTTTCCCGCGTGACTCTGCTCTGGCGGCTTCTATTTAAAGCAAAGGAAAAAATAAATCTAACCTTTTGTAAGATGAGATGTTTCTATGTATTTTAATAATACTTAATAATAATAAATCCTGTTTTGTAACAAAACTTATTTTAAATAAACTCTTGAAGCCAGCTCTTGTGCACTGCTCTTCATCTGCTCCTCAGGGTGCTGCCCCTTTCATGTGTCCCTCCAGCCTGGGATGGAGCTGGGGGCATCCAGAGATGGCCACAAGGCCGGTGTCACGGCTGCGGCGCAGCAGGCAGCGATGCTGGGACCAGATTGGAGCAATGTGGCTCCCTTTATTAGCATGAGATTTGCTCTTTAAACCCTACCTAATCCCTGGCGCTGATAAATCCCCATTAGCTTGGGCTCGCAGATCCAGTGCGTCAGGTCCCTGTTTTTTAACGGCCTCACACATCATCATGAGGTGGCCCGATGCAATCCGGTGCCCCTGGGTCCTGAGCTACTGGGAAAGGAAAAGAATTAAGGAAAAAACACAGCAAATGCACCAAGTCTCAGTGGTAGCTCCGGGACTCCAGGAGAAGCAGGGATGTCTCACAAGGATATGCAGAAAAAAAGAGCTGCTTTTTTCTTCCAGTGCTGCACAGATTTAGACTCCTTTATCTTCCAAAATCTGCTCCCCTGAGACCAGCAAAGTTCCCAGGCGAGACTGCCCGACTTCCATTTAGTGCCCATCCTGGCCTGCCTTCTGCCACCGCCCCAGCACATCAGGGTTTGCTCCTGCAGCTTCTTGCTCCCTCTGGTGTTTTCCAGGTTCTGTGGGAGCTCCCACTGGAGGCAGGCAGCTTGCAGAGCCTTTTGACACCTCCGTCAGGCTCCAACCCTGGGGACATCTCCAGAAAGCTCCTGGCACTAAGCAGCCGGAGGCAAGGCGCGGAGGCAGCCGGCACGCTCTCCGTGCCTTCCTCCATCCCCCCGAGCAAGCGGCGCCTCCAGCCCAGCCTTTCTTGGGAGCGCCTGGCACCAGGGTCCCATGCTGCACGGGCAGCCACTGTGCCCCCCGTCGCCCTGCCGAGCCCCATCGCACCGCGGAGCCGGGCCTGGAAGCAGCGCCCGTACCGGGCAGCAGCACCATCCAAAGTCCTTCCCTGCACAGGGCCCGGCTTGCAGGCATGAACACGATGGCAGGATACAGGCTGGGACATTGACACATGGCCAGTCCGCACCTTACGGGGAGCGAAGGCAAGGCCAGGCGCGCGGCAGCGGCCGAGGCCCTGCTCCTGGAGGCCGCCCCGGCGTGGTCGGCCCAAGCAAGGCCGCGGATGCCCTCCCTGGGCACAACTTGCACAATCCCCAACAGGGGCAGGAGAACAGGGCATGTGGGGAAGCCGCACAGCTGGGAGAGATGGATAAAATACTCACGCTGTGGATAAAATACTCTGCCTCTCTGTTCCCCCAAACCTGACTGCATGTGGATGAAGGATGGGCTCGGTTTCAGCTTTCCTGGTGGCTCCACTAGTCATACCTGAGACAGGCTCTCCTCTATTCCAAAACAGCAGCAGCTGCTTTAATAACTCCACAGGGAACCATAGCGATGGAGCCCTGTGCAATCCCCGAGGCTGAGCCTGAACTGCGTGCCAAGATGCTGAGATCTGCTAGAAATGGGAGATGGGGAAGAGAGATGCGTGTCAGACCAGGGAGGATAAGCAACAAACGATGACACTGCTATTAAAGCCAGGAGCTAATGAAGAGAGTGAAACCTCCCCCAGGATTTCAGTGAGCCACTGAGTAGTTTGGTCTCTCGAGGACTGGGATGGGACATGTGTATCCACTTAGTCATCGCAGCCTCCGAGCAGGCAGGGTGAGAACGGGGCAGGTTCCCCTTCCAGTCACCCAGAAAACAGAGCCCTATTTTCCCTGTAAGCTCCCAGCCAGGAGCCCTGCCGGGGTGAAGGGCAGTTAAAGAGATTCAAGCGTTTAACACCATTTAAAAAAAAAAGTTACAAATCTTTTTAATAAAATTCATTATAAGTTACAGTTTCCCAAAGAACAGGCTCCAGTGTATATGGGAGACAGGCTGGGAGGAGCAGAGGAAGCACCGACAGGAACCCTCTTCCCCACAGGAAAGAAGAAAGAGGGACAGAAAGGTTCTGACAGCCATTTATTGAAAAAGAAATCTCTGAGAGTCCAGTGGATGGAGAAAGACATTAGTCCACATCCCTCTGCCCTCCACCCTCCCAAACCCTTTCCCTCAAAGGCAAACACACATGGCAAGTCCTGCCTAAGTCACCTATTTTAACAGATCCAGGTAGACCTCAGTTCCCCACGACAGACTGAAGATAACTTATGTGGTCCAAGGTTTCCAGCAGAGAAGCTGTGGGACAACCTGCTCTCCAAACAGGTCCTTGAGACTGCACCAGGCAAGGTGGCACGGGCTCCTGGCTCACGGTTTTGAAGCAATCCAAAGGGGCCAGGCCCAGATGCCAGTGGCTGAGGTCAAGTCCATGCTGTAGGAAGAGGGCACTCCATCCCAGAGCAGGCTTTTGTGGGGCACAAACTGCAGTCCTCGAAAAAAAAAAAAAAAAAAAGAACTAGCCCAGCTAGCCCTGGTCACCGAGCCAAGTAACCAGAAACAACAGCACATGTGGGTGAAGGAAGGGCGAGAGCAGGCTCGGAGCTCTCCCGTCAGGGAAAGGCCAGCACAGAGACAGGGCAACCATTGATGATGAGATGAAGAGCTGAAATGAAGCAGCTTCCCTACAAGGACTTTTTAACACCCTCAGCCAGGCAGGACCCCTCACACAGCAGACATCTCCACTCAGGTTTTTAATCCAGCCCATAAGGCACTGGGGTTGGGCAGGAGACCAGATGGTCAGCCAGGTTCCAGTTCCCTACCGTGCCAGAGAAAAAGATGGATACACAGCAAGACAGGTGAAATCCAGCTGGACCAAGAGCACGGGGGGGGATTTGGCCACCTGTGTGTTTGCATGTGAGAAGATTTGTCACTCCAAGACAGCCATGAGGAGATGCAGCTCCCGGAAGGCACTACCGTGGCGGCCGCTGAGCCCGGACTTGTTCTTCACAATGTTGCTGATGTTTTTGAGCTGCTTGTAGCACAGCTTGCATTTATGGAGCCTGCAAAGACAGAGGGCAAACAGCAGGAATCCTCAGCTGCTCCACAGAGATGTTTGCTCCTGGATGGCCTGAGATTCAACTCAGCCAGGAGAGGAAATCCAGGCCCAGCCAAGGGCCTGGAATAAACCGGAATTTGAGTGTGGCTGTACAGAAACAACATGCCCTCAACCCACACCCTGATGATGTTGGGAGAACGGTGATGGGCTCTCCTGGTTTTCCCTTTGGCAGGAAAGCCTGGGGAGGAAGGAGGTGCTTTTTCCAGAGAGACCATTTTCAAAGCAGAGCTACCCTGCTGTGAGAGAGAGAGCTGGGAATCCAGGGCTGGCTGACATCCCAAGTGCCTTGCCCCAGCCCCAGGCTGGTTTTATTACTTACACTCACCCACTTTGGCTAGGTAGAACCCAGAACGTGGAGGCAGAGGGAAAAGCAGCCCTTGCTCCTTCCCTCGGAGACATGCAGTGTTTGGAAACAAAAGGGAAGGCATGGCCAGCCCGGCACCAAAGCCTCCATGCGTAGGAGCAAAGCTCCTTGGTTGGGAGGGAGTGGAGGAGAAGAAGGGCCTCACCTTTCCTCTCTGGTGATGTCCACCCCGACGGAGGGCGGTGCAGCAAGGATGTCTGTGATCAGGGGCAGGAATCGCTGCAGAATGAGCTTTAAGGACGTGCAGCCAGTCTGTACGTAACTGAAACACAAGCACAGAATCAGGTCCCACTCACATTTAACTGCTTTGCTCCCAGCATGTGGCTGTGAACACCGTGCAGCCCTCATACATATCCAGGTACTGGAAATAATTTCCTTAAACAATCCCCCTCCACCACATGTCACCAGGAGAGGAAACCAACTGCAAGGACCAAGGTGGCCTTCATTCAAGTCAAGACTGACAAAGCTGAGCCCTTTGGAAAGGCTCTTGCTAAGTGGGATTTTTCTGCTAAAGAGCAGAGAAGTCCTTGTCCCCCTAACTCAATTCATGTTCTAGTGGCCTCACCTTTCATATTTACTTTGGAGTAGTTTTTCTATCTGTGGCAGGACTATAGTGCACAGATCCAGCTTCCAGAGAGACCTGGAAAGAAAAGGACACATTCTGAGACTGGACACAGGCCTTACAAAGTGCATTCAACACAAACTACTCTTTCTCACAAAAAAATCCCTGGCAGCTGCACTCCAGTTTAGAGAACAAGTTCACCGACTCCCCCTTGTGATAGCAAGTGGCAGGTTCTGTCTATTTCTATTATTATTGCCTCCTTGAAGAATCATTTCATGCACATCTAAGATTTTGATTTTCCTCATGAGACATCATTTGCCTCCAGAAGAGGCCCTGTGTGATCCCAGCCCTTCCTGGCACTGCAGGCCTCAAGGTCTGACTAAAAGCAAACACATTTCACGTTGTCTCAGCACACTGGCCAAGAGCCCAGGACAAAGCAGTACTCCTGACACCCCAACCACCAGCTCTGCAAGACTTACGCTTTCTGGTTGACGATATTCAAGAGGTCGACAACAACAGAGAGGTCGTTGATGGCCACAGCAGAGTCTACAGAGGTCTGAGAGAGAAGGGGAAGTAGAAGAGATTTATTACAAAGTTGGAACTGGTAGACTAACTGCAATTACCAAGTGCTGGTTTACAAACACAAGGTAGAGGAAGCGGGGAGATTTCATTAGGGAAGAGAAGACAATTCTTGCATGAAAAGCTTCTCTCCCCGTTTCTATGGGGCCATTCAACTACCATTTGGACACAGCAGCACTCTGTGGTGCACCGCTGCGGGGAGAAGTGGTGAAAACCGCATTTTGCTTAAGCAAAGGCAGAATTGGTTCCAGCCTGACCAAAAAAGCTGCTCAGCTGCTCCCCTACTGAACCTCAAGCACTTCCATATCCTTGCCTTAATGTCACCAGTGCTCCACACAGCCCGCACAGTGTCCAGGTTCTTGTGGCGGCTGGTGAGCACCACGCACATGGTCTCGTGGCCCTTCCTGATCTGGGACATGGCCTCCTCATCCACCAGCTCGGCCTGGCTTTGGTTTTTCACAGCCTGCAAATACAGACACCAATGGAGAAGCAATAACAGAGCGGCGGGATAGTGCAGAAAAGGTGGGAGCTTTCACATGGCCTAAGCAAGGGCAGATTTTGGCCAGGAAACACCGACTTCCACGTGGATTGTTTTAAAAACATTTTGAATTGGAAATGGTCAATTTGTTCCAACTTCAACTACTCACTTCCACCTTTTCTACTAGGTTAATCACAAACAGAAGTTTGAAGCCTTGGAAAAACCTTCAAAAGTAAGAAAAGAAAAAAGCACAGAAAAAATAAGTTTCATTTCATGCAAGCCCTATTAATTAAAATATATTAAAATGTTTGTCTGAAATCAACAAGTGCTATTACAAAAGCTTAAGTCTTCTGCAATTTATTAGACGCTAAGTTTGATTCCTGTCAAGGTCACGCTGGAAGTTCTGCTTCTTCAGTTCACATGTAAAGTCTGGGATCATGAGGGTGTTCTGGTCCTTCTCCCTTACTGGATCAAGGCATATCCTCCTTAAAGGGGCAAAGAAGCACCTGAGACGCAAGAGGCAAAGATTCTTGTGGAATAATTGCACACGTGTAATGGCAGACATCAATTTGGGAAGTGAATCACTGTCTAGCATGTGGAATGGGTCAGTGTCCTTGTTCTCCACTTTAATCACATGTTCCCAGTCAGCATGGACCAACACTGTTGTGTTTTCATCACCCTACTGCCAAGCACAGCAAGGGCCCGCTCCAGCGATCCTGAGCTACTCATTCAACAGGAACTGCAAGTCAAGGCAGCTGGGAGGCAGGAGAGGAGGCTGGCAGGGCAGAACCCAGCGAGCAGAGGGACAGCAGAATACAGCACGTTCTTGGCTGCTTCATTCAGCAACAGGACCACAGGCTGCAGAAAATACCTGAAAAGACTTTCCGACACCTCTGAGGAGCCCATTTGTGATGCTCCCTAACACAGAATCCATGTCCTAACCTGGACATCTTTGTGCAGAGGAACTTACTGGTAGAAAGTCAGAGGCCTTCAGGCCAATGGGCTCATTCCTTGCTGCAGGAATCACCGATGGCTCCGTTCTTGTGACAGGGGTTGAGGAGGCAATTGGCGGCCTCTGAATTGGGTCAGACTGCAGAAAAGAGTGCAATAAAAGCTGTAACAACAACCACCTGGCCCCAGGCAGAGGCCCTCTTTCATGAGCCACTTCCATCTCGAGGCAGCCAACTAATGCAAGAGGAGTCTCCAATTTGCCAGCATGGTTTAAGAGGCAATGGAGGTTAGGTATAGAGCCAGACTTAATTAAGGTTTCAGAAGAACATGGAGATGCGCCAGCAATAGTGCTGAGTGCTGTCATCGTTGCTGGCATCTGAAATTAGGGCATGGAGTTAGACATATATGCAACATATAACTTATCCTGTCATGTACTGACTGGTATTTTGGCTATAAAGTAGTCTCAGTTTGAACATCCTTAGATATTTGCCCTTTAGGTCTCCTCAGAGCACCCCACTTTTGAGGTGGAAGGAGCAAGTGGACTCAAATGATGCAAGAAGGTCAAAAGCAGTAGAGCTTTTGCTCTGGTGCAGCACATGTCCTGCCACTGATCAGAGCTGCACCTTTACTGGTCTTCAATAAGGTCTTGATAAGAACAGTAAAGTCTCAGGCACTCGGCTATGTTTCACAGCAGGGGTATGAACAGTTCCCAAGAGGTTATTCCATACATACGTGTTCCTGCTTTGGCAATGGGGTCTGGACATCCGCAGTTTGGCTGGGCTTTGCTGCTTCCTTTACAGCTGCAGGCTCTGCCAAGAGGGAAGGAAGTGGACAAGCAGAAAGTGATTGCTCCTTTCAGGAGATGCTCATAGCAAAGGGTCTGCACAGCTAGACTGCAAGCTGTCATTTCTGTGGAGACACAATTTTTCTAAAGGCTCTTAACACCAAGGGGTCATTTTTCTACTCACCGTCCTCAGGAGGGGCTGGGAAGGGCTCATTGTTTCGTGGAGGAGTTCGAGCTATAGAAAAAGAAGGAAAAAAAACAAAACTGATGAAGGCTATAGATTAGCTATAGGTCAGCCTTGGAGCTGGAAGACCTCCAGCAACTCCAGCTCCACAGATCAGACAGTTGGTGATACAGCAAGGAGAGTTATCTCCTTTGGAACTGCGTGTTATTGTTGAGTTTAGCCGAAGGTTTTAGCCATGGTGACTGGGAGGGATAAAATTACCCCATACGTTTCATTGTTGAAGGCAACAAAGTGCAAGAAAAGATTAAATTTAGTTTACGTCAAATTAGCTCACATTGAAGGAAATTCTAACACATGCAAAGCAATAAGGGTATCATGTTGTGCCTCCCAAACAATAACAGCTGCTTTAGCAAAACACTTCGTCTTTTCTTCTTTATGGGGAGGGGGAGCTTCTGGAAATCCCTGATTTTGTATATACCAGAATCCTAAGCAAATAAAGAGACCCCGTAACACAAGGGTCCTTCCTGATCAGGACAGGAAACTACATGCACACACAGGCCAGGCTTCAACTAGACACCCGAGTTAAGGCGCAGCCTTCCAGCAGCTCAGCAACATGAACTACGATTCAGAGGACAAACTAGTAAATAAAGGGGTTTTTTTTTATATATATAAAAAAAACTAGAACAGTGAGCCAAAGTTCACTTCCACACCAGTTTAGTGCCTACAGCTCTCATCTAATCACCATTCAAAACCACAGTAAACTGCAGTACTAACAGATGGAGTTCTTGGGCTGGAAGATCTCTTTGTAGTCCTCTGGGTTCTGGATTTCAGCCTTCGATTCCTTCTCATCCCGGTCATCTTCACTGCTGGGACTGCGTCTCTCGCTCTCTGAGTTGTGCTTCACCCTGCTGCAAAGAAAAGGGACGTTAGCAGGATCAGTCACATGGACCCTCTTAGAGTAAAAGCACTAAGCTCCTTGTAGATTCCCTAAAAACCCTGGAATCAGGGCCGACGAGCAGACTCCCTTACCTCTGTGGCTTGCTGCAGCTAGTTGATGGTCTGTCATAGATGCGGCGAAGGGAGGACCCTGCAGGGGCAGGCTGAACAAGAGGCTTGTCGTCCCTGATCAACCCGTGAAGAATGGAACCTGATTTTGTGACTCTGTTGAGATCCACAACAAAAGAGGAGACTGTGCTTTGTGCAAAGGAAACTCCTATCTGTAGAGGGAAAAGATCCAGGTAATTCACCAAGAAGCGAGGTGCAGGAAAGCCTTAGACATAAGACAGTGACCCTGAGCAGCAGCGTTTCAGGATTTCTCAACTCATGGCCTTGACTTTTTCAGTTTGGAACTGTCCCTGTTTTAGGAAAGTCTATGAATTTTGATGAAGCTTTTGCTGGGCATGGTTTCTAATCACTGGCCCAACCAAGCCACACATCCTCCATCCAGAGATTGGAGAGAAATGAAATGGAGCACAAAGCAGCTGAATGCAAAAGCACACAGGTTTTGCCCCACCGTTGGCCACACTGCTAGCCTGGGTCACTTAGTTTGTCACAAGGCTTCAAGTTCCAAGGCCTGCAAGCACACAGCAGGATTTTATCTTGCGTTCTGCAGCCGCCTCCCCCCGCTCCTCGGGAACAGTGGCTCACCAGCTGGTTGTTGCAGATAGATAAGTCAGCTACTTTTCCCCAGTTCACCAAGACCACATCAAAACAGCGTTCTGGCTCCCAGCCGTACACACGCAGCGAATCCTGGAAGCCACTATACAAGCAGCAGCCATCTGGGTTGAAGAGCACACACCTGGGAGAAGGCAGGGAGAGAGATTTGGATACACCCTTCCAAACTTGCTCAAGTCCCCATGGACCCCAGGGCTGTTTCCCTGACTTCAGCAACACCTCCAGCCTTGGTTTTTAAACACCCAGTGCCCAGATCTAATGATCTTGTGCAAAATCTCCAGCAGCCCAAGCTTCTCCACAGGAAAATATCCTCCCTTCAACCTCACTTTAGGCTGCCTAGTCGTGGTAGGAACTTAATATACCTGACTGGTGTGGCCTCCTCTTCAATACAGCTCACAACTTGAAACTTCTCCAAGTCCCAGAATCGGACAGTCCTGTAATACAACAGGAGAAACAAGATTGCTCATGGAATCTGCTGTAGGGTTTAGTATTAAAATAACATTAATAGCTCGAATGACTTTCACTGCCATGCAAATATAATGAGCCTACAGTGAAAGCTGGTCTAGCTAAGATCCGTGGATCCAGCCAAGGATGCTTACTCTGCACATCATAGATGGGAAATGTTTGCAAAGTGGCAACCACTCACACTGACAGGATTGCCTCAAAACTCAAACTCGCACATTATATTCCCAACAGGAATGGCATCAGGAAAGGGATTGACATATTGAGCTCCCCAGTACAAGAGAGACATGGAGCAAACCCAGCGGAGGGTTACTCAAGTGATGGAGGGACTGGAGCATCTCTCTTACGAGGAAAGGCTGGGAGAGCTGGGGCAGCTCAGCCTGGAGAAGAGCAGGCTGAGGAGGATGTAATCTGTGTGTATAAGCATCTGAAGGGAGAGTGTAGACAGGATGGGGACAGGCTCTTTCCAGTGGTGCCCAGCAATAAGACAAGAGGCAGCAAGCACAAAAAGCTCTGTCTGAACGCAAGAAAAAAGTTCTTTACTGGGTGGGAGACAGGGCCCGGGAACATGTTACCCACAGAGGCTGTGGAGTCTCCATCCTTGGAGATACTCAAAAGCCACCTGGGAAATGTTCTCCAGGTGATCCTGCTTGAACAGGGAGGTTGGACTAGACGATCTCCAGAGGTTTCTTTCAGCCTCAACCATTTGTGACATACACAACTGCCTGCTTTCTCCTTCCCCTCGTGTACCTGTCAGAGCTGCCAGAAGCCAAAAGGTATTCGTTGGGATGAAATTCAACGACATTTACTGGGCCAGTATGTCCTGTAAATTCAGACATTATCTTCCCAGCAGCCAGATCCCACAGCTGAAAGAAAGAAAGAACAGAGAGACTCTTGAAAAGATTTAACGTTAGAGACTCCTACTTTGAGTTTCCTTCTACTGGCAAGCTAATCTTTCTACCTCTCCAAGCACACACTCAACTACTTATTCAAAAACAAACTCTGAAGCTCCAAATCCTTTCCACTTTTTCCTGCAAGTAGTGTACAGTGCAGCACATCCCTACTGAGTTACCTGAGCAGAGCTCAAAAGTAATATTGTGAAGCAACGTGCTACGGACAATTCATCCTGTAAACCTCACCAAGGCAGAGGCCAACGTTCAGGTATCACAATTCTACCTATCACTGAAACTTTCACGCCCATAATGCCCCGACATCAGCTGGATAAGGGCACTTCATCAGATGTAACTGATGTCTGGATGCCACCAGACAGGATCCCCCTAAACCGACTTCCCCTGCAAAGCCACAGGGCTCACACTGCTGCCTAATGAACCAAAGGGAGCTATGGGAGAGCTGGTGAAAAGATGCTCCCTGCTGTCCCATGTACCATGAGAAGATCAGGAGCGTGTTGTGGTAATCGTTGATGGGTAAGTTACCTTTACAGTGTGATCATCAGCAGCAGAGGCTAACCATTTCCCATCAGGGCTAAACCGGAGACACCTAACAGCTTGTGTGTGACCCTGAAATGAGAAACATAAGCAGCACTGTGGTTATTTTCCTTTAAAGGGCATTCTGGCTTCTACCTTTCTATTTTATACAATCAAATCAACTATCTGTGTCACAGACTTCATAGCTCAGAGAACAGAACCCTTAAAACCTACTCTCCAAAGCTATCTATATGAAACAGGCATAAACTCACCTAGACTTTTTTTTGCATTAGGATGACAACTGTAAATAGAAATGTGACTAGGATTGCTGTGCCGTCGAGTTGGTTTCTAAAGTGAAATTAATAGACAGCTTCTAAAGTGAAATTAATAGACAGCAAGTTCTTTGTGTAGAAAAAGCCACAAGAATTGAAATACCTCAGTGCAGAGGAGTCCAGTCTTCTATTACCAGCCACGGCTTAAAGAAACACTCATGGATGCTCTGCACCCCACAGTGAAGCCTATCAGCCTATAGCAACTCGTAGGATAACTGCTCCTGTCCCCATACAGTTCAGAGGCATATAGAGGTTTATCACACCACTTCAGCAGTCATGCAGATGTTATTTTTATATCAGGAAAGTAGGAGGTTAATCAAATAAGCACTTAAAGGCTTACACACAACCCTAGGTAGGGACCTTTTTTCGCTCTTCTCCCCAAAATCAGTGAAGGAGTTTACCTTGTATCTGAAGACGCAGCCTTTTCTTCTTACATCCCAGAGCTACAGGGAAGAAAAGCAAACAAACCATAAGCTCAGAACGATAGATGAGGGCTGTTAAAGTCGTGTCTGCTCTTGAGCCTTCTCCTGACCCAACCTTCTCAGCGAGAACCATTTCTGTAAGGTATTTCATACTACAGAAGCTCAGTTCCTAGAGTCAAACGCCAGCCTGATAAAAGCAGAGGCAAGCCACAGAACCAGCACATTGACACTCGCTCACATCAGGGCTCCTCTGGCACCAAGCTCAGAGTCCTGTGGAACGAGCCGTGTTCCCTAACAGATGAATCACATTTGTTGCATTGCACTTGTAAAAACACATGAGCGGATTTCACAAGTGTTCATAAATACACCTGCCCACACACACGCTAATGATGATATACATCTGCCAACAGCTTGGCACAAAACACATTCTGTCCCTCTTCCCAGCAAAGACGCCGCAAGGGAAGAGGATAATCTCTAGGAGAAACTGGGCTTTACCTTAATGTTTGTGTCCAAAGAACCAGATGCCACAAAGCTTCCAAAAGGATGGAAATCGAGGCTGCAGATATTGGCCTTGTGACCCAGCAATGTCCGAAGAACTGGGAAAAGGAGAAGTGGGATGGAGAGAAAGAACAGGGATCAAATATTTAGCAGTTGGTTTCCACACACAGAATGCAGTTTGGCCATCCTATCTTCACCATTAAACACATGCCAATACAACATATATTAGATATGCTAGACCTAGTTAATCATCTGTGTACATTATCCATGGAAATGTTTCCAAGTTCACCTTGCAATGCAAAGAAACAGCAATAGAGGGCCTGGGCTCAGCAATCCTAATGGAACTCCTGTCCTTAGGTATGTAATCTCTCAAGGTCTCAAAGGTGAAAATGAAACTGAAAAGTCATACTTTGAGGCAGCTGTCAGGCAGAGAGAGCACATCTTGGGGAGGTAGATAGCACCTTTGGGTAAAGAAGTGAAAGGGACACTTGACTATCTGCATCGTTCATCTTTCAGGTATCAGACAGACCCTTTCTAGGTCTCTTTGCCCCAGCGTGGGTACCTGTCTGGGATTCCACCGCTTATATTCCAGTATTTGCACTGGATTCCTCCCACTGCCCCTCACAAGAAGCGTCCCAAAGAATGTGCATGGAAGGGACGCTCAGGAAGGGGAGGCAAAGGAAACCATCACGGTGCTTCAACTCATCCACCGAGCAACACCCCCTGCAGTGCTGGAATCCAGCACGGACCAGCAGAACTGGTACCTTGTAAAGCAGAGATGAATGTAGAGCTCAACTTCGAGGAAGAAAAATTGCTCTCATAATGAGAAGCAGTTTCACTCCATCAACAGGCATCTGGGACACTTTTTATTCCCACAGCGGGAATTAGCTCTCAAGCCAGGCCAGGAGCAGTCATTTGTAGAGACACTGGCTCATAGGTCTAGTACTAAAGTCATCCAGATCTGTTACTCTTCACTGGTTGAGCCAAGTTATTTTATAATCCAACTGCCTCTAAATGCTTGAATGACAAAAAGGCTTTCTTATGTATGCCATCTGCTTTTTGTTTTCTTAGCTCAGCCAATGCAAGTCTGGTTTTTGTCGCACCCTCTTACGATGAGCAAGTAGCAAACTACAAGAAGCATTCATTCATTTTACAGTGTTTGTGCTGGAGTGCACTCGAGCAATTTGTGATCCCTTTTCAAAATTCCTTTAGGGTTTGAGAAAAAAATGCAATAAACAAAATAGGATTCAACAGTATTTAAAGGATCAGGGTTCAACGAGTTGATAGCTTTTATGATTTATTATAAATTAGGCTCTTGTCCCTTTCTGTGGCCAAGTACAAGGAAAAACACTTGAGAAGAAAAAGAAAATTAAACTGGAACCTAAAAAATAAGAGATCAACGGGCAGAGAGATTTCTGGGCTTGTACAGAATCTGGAAACTTAAAACGTTGAAAGTGATTATATTGTATATTATTAATTAATATTATATTCTTATGTATAATATCAGATATTATATACTTATTAATTAGGTATTATATATTTGTACTATCACAAATTAGGGGCTGAGCTGCTGGAAAGCAGGTCCATGGAGAGGGATTTGAGAGTTGTGGTTGATAACAAGTTAACCATGTAAAGAGGATGGGGTCAAACTTCTTGGTGGTGGCCAGTGACAGGGTAATGGATATAAATTAAAACACAGGAAGTTTAATGTCCATATGAGGAGAACTTTTTCCTGTCAGGGTGACAGAGCCCTGGAAGAGGCTGCCCAGAGAGGCTGTGGAGTCTCCTTCTCTGGAAATCTTCAAAGCCGCCTGGATGCCGCCCTGTGCCCCATGCTCTGAGTGTCCCCTGCTTGTGTAGGGGGGTTGGACTAGATCATCTCTAAGGTCCCTTCCAACTTCAACTAGTCTGAGGGTCTTGTGTGATTTTAAATTTGCACTGTCCTTTCAACTAAGGCCCAATTTTAAGCTGAGAATTCAAATACATTTTCTGTACGCCTAATTACCTTACAGATGTGTGCAAAATCATCTGGAATATACAGTTCAGCATGCTCACGTCAAAATCCTAGAAACTAGTTCCTTAGACCACTCTCCAGAACACACATACGTATTTCTGCTCAAGAGGGCACAAACAGCTCTACAGCCTACGTAGGAACTGCACAAAAACCCTACAACAGCACTAGAAATTAAAATGAAAGCAGGATCAGGCTGTTGCTTCTTAGCTGGGAACCTTCCAGGCCAGCAAGGATACTCGGCATAAAGATATTCCAAAACCAACACACACAGAGAAGCCCCATCACATGAGAACATACTTTTGGCAGCTTCCAGATCCCAAACTCGAATGGAGCCCGACTGGGACCCTGCGACTATGAGCTCCTCATTTGTGTTGATCTGCAGGCTCTCGATGGGGGTTGTATGGCCTGTCAAGCTCTGCAAGAAAAGAGGCACAAAATGACAAGGTCTCATGCAAAGCTGATGGCCACAGTTGCATCATTTACACTTGACTAGTGAGTAGTGATTTGGGATCATCATTTCCCCATGATTTGGGAACGCCAGGCTCTGCTGCTGGTCATTCTCTCCCAAGAGCTATGAGGGTGGCAGGGCTTCCTAGAGACCATCACTGCACGGAGCCCTGGCACACATCACCCAAGTTCCCACTGCTTTCTGGCACACTCTGACTAATTTTTGAAGGATGCATCGACAGAGAGACACGGGCAGTTAAACATCAGGTGTGCATGCCCACACAAGGTTGACACATGCTTACATTATAAAAATTACGCTGCGCAAGCACGATGACACCGTGTTTGTTCTAAATGGGTCACTTAGGTGTCATGAACCGGTTACAAAACCCAAAGCAAGAGCAAAACCAAGGCTACTTCAAAACCTTCACCCAAGCAAGAAGCCCTGTGTTGCTGCCAGCGCTGGGCGTCGCGGCGACGACATTGTCCCATTACTAAAGTATTAACTTGAGGCAATAAGAGTAGTGAGTTTGCATTTTCTTTCATCCATGAGCATCTAAAAGCTTACAAGTAAGTATTTTGAAAAGGCCTGATTTTAATTAAAACACAAGAATATTAGAACTAGCTCTGGAAAGCTAATCAACAAACACACTGCTATTGTGGAGCTTTTAGTTGTCAATTAAGCAATATTATAGTCTAGTCTTTATCCTCAAACAGGTCTTTTAAACAGTTAAGCCAGCTCTGTGCCTCCCACACATTTAAAGAGGCTGGGAACACCAGTTCAAAGCCACTTGTCCCGGTGCATTTCATCAGCAACTGCAACACTCTAAGGTTATAACTGCTACCACTTAGGGAGAAAAAAAGTTCAAGCTGAAACTAGAAGTTGCTCCTTGAAAAGTTCTTCTCCCTCTTGCCCACACAAATATCTGGAATCCTGGCAGTGTAAATACAAAAGACGAGCTTTAGAGAACAACCACGAAAATCAAAACACAACTCAAACCCTCCAGGTTCTTTTGATATTATAACAACAACACAAGATCTCAGCAGTTCCAGTCAATCCTCAACCTGCAGAAATATAAGTTCCTGACACCTGTGGCTCCCAGGAAGCACGGGAGAGCTATGGCTTTCTACTCCCACAAAAGGGAGAGGGAGAGATTTGGTCTTTCCTCCTTTACAAAGAAGGAACTACTGTGGCTTCCAACACCTGGCAAGTCACTAGAAATGGCCTGGAAAACACAGTTTAAACTGTGAAAAAAAAAAAAAATGCAGCATCACGGAGGGCGAGCAGCTCCTTTTGCATCTATTTCAACCTCTGTCTTGATCTCAGTAAAAATAAAGCAAAAACAAAACAAAAAAGATAAAACAAGGTAGAATCTCTCTTCTAGCTTTTTTGACCCTATTTCCCTCCCATGTCCTTGCAAGGCTCACACTGGCGAGAGAAACACTTCTCATAATGCAATGGTAATTATACTGTTTACAAAACAAACGCTAAGGGACTCTTGCTAAGAATGCTTTTCCACAACATCCCAGAAAAGGTGGATGCTGCAGAATAAACAATTGTTAAATATACCTGGAATGCCTCTTAGCTGTGCCTGCTGTGGTATCCCTACTCTTTCTAACATGCTGCATCCAATATTTCACTTCCCCAGCCCACAGACAAGTCAGCAAACTATCCTGACAAACACCGGGCTGTCGGAAAGCGAGTATGGGGGGAGTGGGAACATATCCTGCCCGAGAGGCTTCCTCCTCCAAAGGCAAACTCCAGGGCACAAAACCAGTCCCTGTAGCTTGTGCTATAAAAGCAGCTGACCTTGTGCAAAATTCTCCATTTAATTATCTGTAACCTGGTAAAAGAAGGCTCAGTATTCACCATTGGAGCACATACTGGCCTACCTGAAGCAAGGAGCCTCCTGGACTGTGTCTGGAGCAGAGTTGTTCACCAGTTACTTGAATTTTGTCCCCTTTTCCAGCTAGAATCAGATCACGCTTTGCATTGACAAACTCTCTTCAACCATCATAAAAGCTGCAACCCATATGTCTTTTCCCCTTGTTTCCCACTCTCTGCATCTCAGAATTAATATTCCTGTCTCCCCAAAGTTGCAAACTGTCCTGTCCTTACCATGATGCAGTTGGGCTTGTTAACCGACCATATGTTGACCCGACAGTCATCTCCTCCGGTTGCCAGTAGCCGGCCTGAACTCTTCCCCAGGACTAGCGAGGACACATTGCTGCTGTGAGCTGTGATCTCTTCTGCAAAAATTAAATAAAAACCAAAGCAAACAAACACTTGTTACAAACTGAAATAAACATTTTCTATCCCATGCTTCCCAGGGGACTTAAAAGCTAACAAACAAAAATAAACCCCACAACTTTCTCCAGGAAAACTTCCCAGTTCCCACTGGACAAGCTGGAGCAATGCAGAGTTCAGATAAGAAGTCAGTAATATTATCTTGCTTGAAACAGTCCTCCTCAGCCCTGCTGCACCTTCAAGACATGCTGACCAGTCTTCATGACTGCAGTGGATGTGCTGCTCACAACAGCATCCCGTCGCCGGCAGCAGCTCCGACGCTGGTGGGGAAGATGTGCTCACATGTAGAAACCTGCTTAGAGAAGTTGCTTTACCTTCCCCACCTGGGTGGGTTTCCGTGTGCCGAGCTGTTTCCGGGGTCGGAATGATATGAAGCAGCACAAGCATCTAGAAAAAGGCCCTCTGATACTGTTCTGGTGAGCACCAGAAGACTGTTCAACCCGGGAGGAACTGGCAATGAACAGCAGTAAAGTTTGCTGCCTTGCAGAGGAAAAAAGTCAGACTCAGCACTGGGGATAGGTGGAGCTCCCTGCTCCGAGCTTTGGCAGGGCTTTGCTACATTCCCACCACACAGGCACGTGGAATTTCATGGTTGACAGTGATCGTGTATTTTTAAAGGGCAGAAAAGAACAAATGTGATTGGTATTAAAAGACTGTTAAAAAGATGGAGGCTGAGGTAAAGACCTGACATTGAGAGGGCCTTCGGAAATGACAGAACTCGAGGGAAGCCTTACAATAAAGGAACAAACTTGGGGTTAAGGAGAAGCCAAACAAGAGCATCTTTGCAAAGGTACCTGCTTTCATAAGGGATTTTAAAATCCACCTGAATTTTTGGCAGGAATTTTCCATCAGATGCCTTCACCAATTTCTTCCTCTTACAGTTCTCCTCTTTGAAAGTTCACCAGATTTGCATGCATAATATTTATGAAACTTGTTTGTAAGAGAAAAAAAATAGGTAGTAATCAATGCAGTTTTTGTTCAGATTGCTTTGGTGGGAAGAACAATTTGATGATTAAGTGCAAGACACTAATCTAAAGGGACATTAGGATAGTAACAATAATAATTACAGGTATTTTGTTCTGAGGTTCTCAAGGATGCTTTTTTGAAAGGAAAACTGCGCAACTTTCACTTCAGCTGGACCAACACATGCCAAATTACAAAGGCAGCAGGACTGTAAATTAAACGCAAAGGGCAAAGCTGAAAATAAACCTCCACTGTGTCAAAAGAGCAGCATCTAAGGCACTGCTAAAGCAAAGTGTGCACGAATAGATGAAACTGAAGGTAATAAACAATGCAATTAGTATTAATGGACCGACTGACTATTTAAAATTGAAAGAACCTATGCTGAGCATTGATGTTAAAGTGAGTGTGTCAGCAGCTCAAGTTTTTGCTCCTCTTGATTTTGTTCTTAATAATACATTAGGGGTTTAAGAGTCATTGCTAAAGTAATAATCCCTGTGTTTATAAAAACCAGATTATAACTCCACACCGGCCTTGGCCAGGCAACAGCACCTCATTCCCTGGTGAAGCATTAATCTACCTAATCCCACAAACCTTTCTCCATGAAGCATCCTCACCAGCTATCACCCACGAGCTCAGCGACAGCAAACTCCTAATCGACGTCACCAAAATGTTTGCCAACGTGCCAAACGCTTCTTGCTTTGAAGAGGAAGGTACAATGAGAGGGCCCAAAAAAGCCAAGATCAAGGGTTTCTGCTCATTTAAATAGAACAAAGATTTGAGACCAATCAACTTCCAACAGTTCCTGAAACTTACGAGTTTCAGGAATGGGAAAGTAACATCTCAAACTGGCTTTCTGCTCAAAAACACATGAAATACTCAATATTGGCTATACTGCAAGGGTGACTACTATACAGGATGAGCTATTGTATCTATACTCTATGTGACTAGTTAATATACAGCCCTATTAATATATTGCCAATCAATATCACCACCTTTCTGTGAGGCTTAAAATCACTGGCCTAAAACACACATTTCCAAACAACTAATTACTTCCCTTTGCTTCTAACAACTCATTTGCAGCTACTATTACATTACCAGGCAGTGCTCAGAGACGCGAACAGAAATGGAAATGGAAAATTAATAACTGCACTTTCCAGGGAAAAAAAATGAAACTAAAAGCACCAGATTCTTGCTGTCTCTTATAAAGTGTTTCAAGAGGATGAGTAAAGACCTGATCGTGTAATGATTACCTCATTCCACGTGCAGCAAGTACCCGCTCACCTTCTGTAACACAGGAGCAGCAAGGAGTGCTCATGATACCTGGGAACTAGCACGATACCCGGGCACTCTGCAGCAGGCCGGGCTCTCTACGGGTTTCAATCACTTCCTTGGTTGTTCTTATGGGACATTAGAGTGACATGGGCTTTGCTCGCTAGAATTTGGGATAGCATTGCAAAAAGTAATAGGAAAAAAAATACAGACTTTTACCCAATGAAAGCAGCTAAACAAAATGCAATGCTTCTCTGCTATGCTGCTCCAATCCTTTTCAAAAGGGATTTTTTAAACTCAGGAAGGGCATTCAGCCCCAAGGAATAACCTAGCTCAACGATAGCACAGAAAGGCTCTCTCTTCCCCTTGCCAGCTCAGAAAACTCTGCTCGGCTTCGCCAAGGAGAGGAGAGGAGCCCCGGGCACTCACGCAGCTTCCACGCCGTCTTGGTGGCCACGGACACGGCCATTTCTTCTCCCGCCCGGCAAAGCTCCGCCGTGGAGCGCGCGCCAGAGCCTCAGCTGCTGCCTGCAGAGCCGCTCAGTCGCATCCAGCCCGAGGAGCCTCGTCCTGCGGGGAGACGGAGCGCAGCTCTCCCGGCACCGAGCGGATCTTCCCGTGGCGCTTAATCCTCATGGGGATCAACATGACACGGGCCTAGGCGAGACAAGACACAGCGTCAGGG